TGATGCTGTAAACCTAGGCTATATAACGCTGTGTTATTTATCAATAAACGCCATTTGCCGTCCACCACATTGGTGTCTGCGTGCTGATGACCCGAGCGGCCGAGGGGTGGGTCGCCGAGCCGTCCCTGAACCAGGTCGCCACGCCGACGAAGGCGACACGCTCCAGTTAATGGCGCTTCATTTATCTAAGGATTTAATCGTGCAGGCTCTAAATGGGATAGTCCTTTTGTGTCTTGTTCCCATGTCATGGTATCACTCTAATCTGTACTGGCACTTATTCAGTTTTTTCTGATTACTCCTTTTCTTGGAGTATCTTTCATTGATATGCTGATAAAATGTGCCCATCCTTAGACTAAACCAGGATATTCTATTTATACGCTCTGTATATACCCTGAATACATTCAAGGCCAGGTTGGATGGGGATCCTGAGTAACCTGAACTGTTTAAAGATATCCCTACTTGCTGCCGGGGCTTTGGGCTAGATGACCTCTGAAGGTCCCTCCCAACCCAAAGCATTCTATGATTCTGTATTTTCAAGGTAAAAAATGAACTCTGCAAATTAAACCGTAACAATTCTCTGGTCTTCAAGACAGACTTTTATTCTCCCTGTCTGATTTCTAGGCTGTAATCTCCCTGGAACAGGTATTGCCTTGACATTTGCGTCTCTGGAGGTGAGGTTTATAGGTGGCAGGAAAAAGTCAGTGTCAAGCTGTGCATGCCAATAGCTCTGACCATCTCTGTGCTCTTCAGAAACCGTTCTCTGGTTGTGTTGCTAGCAGACAGACTCTCAAGCCTCCCTGCAGAGAAAGGGGTGCAGCGTATGGGGGAGACGAGGTCATTTTATAGCATAGGATCTTCTGAGGGCTGGGTCTCTACAGAAGTGAGAGTCAGTAACTCTGTTTCTGGTCCTGTGTTGTGTTTTCCTTCTGCTAGCTGTGGTTTGTTTGCTCCTTGCATGCACAAGTGAGCTGCGGTGAACGGAACTGCAGAAGGGGTATAATCCCCACACCTCCCTCAGTAATCCTGATGTGCCTCTTTCTCTGTGTTGCAGCCCTTTTGCTGTCGATCCCTCCGCTGGGACGCTTGGGATTGGTGATGCCATGCAAGTAACGGTGCAGTTTCACCCACTGAAGACTGGGGATCATTCCAGATCCCTGATAGTTCACTATGACACAGGTAAGTGCTGGGCACTGTGTAGTGCACGCTCTGTGTCCTTCAAAACAGAGCCCTTTCTAAGCTGAAATAAAACTAAACTTGCTTTGCAAAATACTTCTAAACCCTTTTCTTTCAAAACCTCCGCATGTTTCAGCGCTTATAAGTGAGCACTCAGGGGCAAAGGCTGAGCCTGTCCTTGTCCTGTGTTTCTGTGTCTTGCCCATCCCTGGGGGACCCTGGTGTCAGCAAGGTGTTGTCTGCTCAGCACCCCACCCATGATCATCATCTGTCGTTGTTCCCCGTTGTCCCAGCCACCTTGGTTCCCTCTCCAGGTGTACCTTCCATGTCCCAGCCTTACCTCAAGTGAAAATGAATAATAGTTGGTGACTGGGGGATTGTTAAAGTAGATCCCTTCAGAGGGGATTGTGATTTTGGAATCCTGTTTTGCTGGGAGCTGCTGAGCGGAAGAAGGAGAAATATCGATTCTCTGTTTCAGTGTCTATATGCGTGTGTGAAGTTTGATTCCTGCAGAGTGTTATGTTTGAAGTGTAAGATGGGAAATGCATGTCTCTGTTGGTCTCTCCCCAGTGCCCACTGTCTCTTATGCACCTCTGTCCCCTGTGTGCTTCTCCACTGTCTTGCCACAGACCCTTTTTTATGTTTTTTCAGTGAGGGAGGAAAAAAGAAAAACATGTGATGTGGTAAAATGTTTCTGTCCGCCTTGGTTCAGCAGAGGTGTCTTGTGATGTTGGGTGAGACACCTTCTCTGTTGCATGAATGCATCTGGTGTGTGTTTTTCTTGCTGGAGAGGTTTGTTTTGTCCCTGTTCCAGAATGTTGGTCCTGCGAAGCAGTGTCCTAATCTGAGTGCTACCGTGATGCTTTAGCCCAGCAATGAACACTTCAGTTGTCTTGAGTTTGTAGAAGTTCTAAAAATGCTCTTATATCTTCTAAATGCTCTCTGTAGCTTGGACTTATCACAGCTCCATTGAATATTTGTCCGTTAATGACATAGTCACAGAGAGTGGTTTGTGCTCACTCCGAGAAGCTTGGGGGTTTAGATCACACTTCTTGAAAGAACTACTGAAATTTCAGGCAGAGAAGCACACAAAGTGCCTCACTTCTATGCATATAGAGAATCTACGGGATAAAACTCAGAGGGCTACATCTTTGGGGTAGATGAACAGTAATGCCAGAGAGTAGGGCTTGTAGGGTTTGTACTTTGTGACTGAAAAGATGGAGTGAATAATTAGGGCCAGGATCTTCATGGCTTGCTTTGAAAACCTGAGTCTTGTTCTTACCGAAACAACTGGTTCCTCCCTCGTTAGTCTTTGCAAAAGCAACTTGAGTGGATAGACCATGGAGATCAAACTATCTGCTAGCTCCAAGATGGGTGACCTCCCCGGCATGCATGCAGCTACCTGGCCGACGAACCCTGGATTCCTTCCTGCCCATCAGTACAACGCTGCGGTTATTTTCAAATAAACAGCAGATTGAGGAGGAGAGCAAAGGGAATAATTAAGGGATTATCTCTCTAGCTTTGAAGCGTACAAATGAGTAGAAGGCTGCTGAGATTAATTGCTAAAGTGAAACTGAAACATTTAATCAGTCTTAAAAGCTGTGTGTTGCAGGTGTAACGCAGAGCACCAGACAATATTGCCCAGTGTCGAGTGGCAAGCCCGGGCTTAATTTGCCCTGCGCCAAGTCAGGCTCCCTGTGACTCGCATACTAAAAGCTGCTGCGCTTTCAGAGCCACCAACAGGCTGTTTGTTATGAAACAGAAGCGCTGAGAGCAAGCCAGCGTTTTAGGATGGTGGGAGACGTTTTCGTTGCTGTGCTGTGTCTGTATTGACTCGCTTGGCTCACAACTGGCCGTAGAAATCACGCTGCTCTTAGTGTGACTTGCGATCAGGTGCGTGTTGCGGTGGTCTAATTTTTGCAGAAGTTGGGTCAAATCTGTCCCTAGCATTGCTTAAGCAAACACAGAGCTCTTCAGTGTGAAGAAGTCCAAATGTTCCCTTTGCCTGTGATTTGGCTGGTTGAAGTTGTGCATCCTTCAGGCTGTCCTGGCTGGGAATGTAGGTACTGTCCCCTGCCTAGGCAGTACATATGTCGGTAAACCAGTTGCTACAAACTTTACATATGAGTGTGAAGAACATGTCTTTGCTGATAAAAACGTGGTGGTCTGCAATGGAAAAATGTCCAAACTCCTCCATTTTGCCCCATGCCTATGTGTCTGGGTGTGAAAAATCCCAGCCCATCCTGAAATGAAGGTGACTCGGGATGTTCTGGGCCACTCATCATCTGTGTTCATCACCTTGACATTGGATGATAGTATCAGAAAGGTTTTCTGAAGCCTGCAAGACAAACATGTCTGCTGGTGTGGAAAGGGTTTTGCGCTCAGGACCACATGAAGGTCTGGGTTGTGGCTTGGCCCTTCCCAGGTGTCTTTTAGCCCACCCTGTGTGGATATGGAAAAGTAAGTTTATGGAGTTAAGTCTAATTTCAACCAAGTCAGTATTCATAAAGCTTAGATATTCTTTTAGCTCTCAAGCAGTTCTCAAGTGAGATGCCCAAGCTGGTTGCCCTGAGTGCTGCCGTTTGTACATCAAACCCCATTTGCTGCAGTCCCAATGTTCATTGCAACCTGACGGTATAGCAGAAGCTTGATGTGGGAGGGTGTGCTTTGCTCAGGGACACAGGGCTGAGATGTGTGACAGCTTCCAGAGCTGTGCCAGAGGAGCAAACTCGTCCCACAGCACTCAGAAACGATAACATGTATGACAGATCCTCTGTACGAGTAAGGGAGTCTACCAGAGACAGGAGATGCTGGAGAGATGCTGGGAATTGTGGAAGGAGAATCACTTCTCTGCGCAGAGCTCCCTAAATCCTGACTCACCTTAGAGTCCTGTCTCCAAGAAGTACCTATTATGGTATGATAGATGGTCTTCAAGGTGTATCACCTCTTTGCGCAGAGCTCCCTAAATCCTGACTCACCTTAGAGTCCTGTCTCCAAGAAGTACCTGTTATGGTATGATAGATGGTCTTCAAGGTGTATCACCTTGAAGATGTGCTCTGCTTCTATGTGGATGCCTGTAGTGCCCATGGGACCCTGTGGCGAGGTGCTACCACATCCTTCTAGTCCAGGAGAGCTGTTGGGCGATGCTGAAATTCCTCTGTACGGTTTTTCCCCATCGGGCGCCACATCCCTTGGGATCTCTGTGTCAGCACAGGAAACTTCAGTAATTAGCAAAGCCTCGCTGAGCTTTTGCTTGGCTGACAGACGCTATATATTGAGATGCTTTTATTGTTGTCAGTAAGAAGAGTGATTATGCAGATCATTTTCTTTCGGTGGCTGTGTGAGACTAACGCAGAAGCAAAAGCCTGGGGGCAGGATCTCGCCCTCTTTGAGGGGACAGATCAGAGCCAGTACTTGTATGTGAATTTTAGGAGACAGCATATCCAAGACGAGCCAGCCCTCAAGCAGAATGTCTGCTCCATTACTGTCCTGCCTCCCCTTGGTGCAGAGCCCCAGAAAGCAGCTTCCCCAGAAGAAGAGGTAATGTGGCTCGGGAAGAGTTCTCTGGAAGCCTCCAGGCTTGTGCTAATAGCCCACTAAGGATCCATCCAGACATTTGGCAGATTAATATTTTGTTTTCTGTCGACTTCCTATGCAACTTACGGGAGGGCTGACAGTTCCTGAGTGGGAGCTCTCCTAAAGCAAATCTTGGCTTGTTTGGTGTTACTTGTGGACCCAGACTCAAAGCATAGAATCATAGAATGATTTAGGTTGGAAGGGACCTTAGAGATCATGTGGTTCCAACCCCCCTGCCATGAGCAGGGACATCTTCCACTAGACCAGGTTGCTCAGAGCTCCATCCAACCTGGCCTTGAACACTTCCATGAGCATCCTTTGTAGCTTTGCATACCCAGGCCAAGGAAGGGAGAGCTCAGCCTCAGCTCCTTGATTAGTGACTTTAAGGACAGGTAGAAGATGTGGGTAACATCTTCCTCCTGCTCCGTAGTTGTCCATCAGTCTGAGTTTTCCTGCACGGGGTTAGTTACTATCCCCAAAGGAAGTAGGTGAAGTAATGTTTCCCCTCCTGAGAGCTAGGGTGCAAAACTTGCTCTCTGCCAAATTCAGGTTATTCCTGTACAGAAGAAGAAAGAACAGCTAAATGTTTCTCCAGTGCTGGGCACGATGTGGAGCTGAGTTTGCCCTGCCATGGGTCAGGGAAGGGTCTGGCTGCCTCGTTCGCCTGCCTCTGAGCTTTGCTGGCTGGCCCTGAAAGTATGGGGTCCGCAGCATCGGTTCCTCCCTGCTGCTGCTTTTGCTGTAAGGCAAACCATCAGCCTCACATGACGTAGTATTAGGCTGCAGTGGGGAGGAGCGAGCCCTGGCCCGAGATGTCTCCCTGGCGAAGCTCTCCCATGGTCCTGGTCCTGTCCAGTTCTGCAAGCTGGCTGACAGCCGGGCCCTTCAGCTGGCTGCGCTGAGGGGAGTCGCTGCAGGGGGTTTTGATGCTGAGCTCCAGAGAGCTGCCACGATGGGCAGGTTGGGTTGACCAGCAGCTGCCACAATGGGCTCGCCTCTCCAGCCGCCAGCTCTATCACTGTCTGGGGTGACCTGTGGTCTTCCCCCAAGCCAGCACGAGTGCTTGTAGGATAGCTACGATTTCGCTGGGGCAATGTAAGAAGGAAAAAATAATGAAGTCCTGGGTAGATCTCAAAGAACTGAATGGGAATCACTGTACTTAGTGTGGCAGCAATGCTCAGGGTTATGGGGGATAGCAGAGGTGAATCTAGGTCTTCTGCTCCACATAGGGTGCGCTGACCCACGGCCCTGCCATGGCTCTGCCCTTCTTCATCTGACCGTAGACAGCTCTTCTGTGCTGCAGCAGCCTCTGGAGCTGTGCGTGGTAACAGCCAGCTTGAGGAAACACTGCCATTTCCTCTCAAATGGGGAAAATGAGGCATGAGATCACAGGAAAAATTAAGGCATATTTAAAAAACGACTGATTAGCTGACGTGAAGCTCTTTAGTCACCCGTGGGATGACAGCGGGTTTGACGTGATGTATGAGAGTCATTTGGTTTGGGTGAAGATGATGGGGAACCACAGGGCTGGGTGTGCTTGACTGGTGGGAGGCGAAGCAAAGCCCCTCTGTCTTGGCCATGGGTATAAACCGTAGTAGGGGCTGCTTCGCGCTGCAGATGGGCCAAGGGGAAATGTCAGCCGCATTAGTGACTGTTCAACTCCTGCATGGACCAGCGTGGGGCTGCCAGGTGGGAAAGTCAACATATTGAGATGCTGAATCCCTTGCTTTGGGTGAAATTGGTGCCTGGTTTAGCTGGATAGGCTTCGGTGAACGAGGCCACCCAGGTGAGGGCTTGGGGCGGTGCTGGCGATCGCTGTACAGGTGCAGGAAACTCATTCGATCCCAGCCCTGGTTGTTTATGGCTCTTTGAGGCTGAACAAGCAACTGCAGCATGGGTGCGCCAGCGCCTCTGAACATCTCGGCTACCCACAAGGAGAAGCATCTGAGAAAAGCGCTGCCTTGCTGTGGTATTCGTCTGTGGTTTTGTGGAGACTTTGGAGAACACCACCAGCTTTGCATAGCTCTGTTCTCTTTCCTTTAAGAGCCCTTTATCTGCCAAGGGTCTCATCATCTGTCTTGCAAGGCTGGTGTTGCAATCAATGGCTTCCAGGAACTTGTTTGAAAATGAAATGAAAATCCTATTGATTTCGTCTCTAGACCAAGCCTTTTCCTTGCTCGCTCTTCTTTGTAAATCCAGTGATGGACGTGGATAGGTGGCAGGGTTTAACTGAGGTATAGCCCTTCTTGTGTTGCACTTTACGTTCCTGAGATCACTCGAGCAAGCTGCTGGGTGCTCTCAGTTTGGCTTGAGCCAGAATGGAGGAGGCTCAAGACTTGCCCGAGCAAGCTCCCTGCCTCGTTGGGTGTTTACCCGTGTCGTCCCTGGGTTGTGCAGGATGCCAGTGCGGGAGTACCACAACCATTTGCTGGTTTTCATCTTAGTCTCGTTCGAGTGCTACAGGGGCTCGGATATGACTGTGAGTAGATCGAAGTTACTATTGAGCTCAATTCATGGCAGCAGACCCTGAGCTTCCGGTTGCCACCTCTGCGTGCCATTGCTATGCACCTCTGTAGCTGTGTGTCTTCACGTGATTCTCTGTTCCTTCCACACCAGACAGGCCTACAGTAGCTTCTTACAAGTGCTAAGCGTTGGGGAAATTGTCTGCTTCGCAAGCAGCAGCCTCTTTTGACTCCTAAGCTTTGCTGTATTTCACGGACGTGGTGTTTTTAGTCTGTGTTTAGTGCTGGCAGATGGTTAGAAGCGTATTCTGTGACTTGATCTTGTTTCCCGTGTTACTGTAAGGTGCAAGGCAGACTCCGATGGTGTAGCTGTTACAAGAGGCTTCTCTAGCTTTTCCTGGGACTGCTGAGCATTGACAAACTTTGTAAAGGGATTTTCCTTCCTGCTTGTTGCAGGTGGTGAGTGCAGGTTGTTCTTTTCCTCCTTCGCTTGTGGAAATTCCCAGCGGTGTGACTGGTTTCTGTTGGACTTCTATGGTCTTGTCTGTCTGCTTCAGAGTGAGTGGAGGGAGGCATATATTGTGGGTAAAAAAAGGTCTAAAGAGGAGTTCATGCAATTGTGTTGACTTTGCATCTTAATAGCAGTGCTGCAACAGACTGTGGGTTGGTAACTAACACTTTACACAACGGATTGATTATAGGCTTTTATAGTTCAAATCAATTAGATTGATAGGTGAGTCTAGTTGGTCTCCAAAGTGTTCATTTATGTCAAAACAGCTGATAGGTAGCAACTGTTTCCTGTCTTTGTTCACCTTTTCTAGAACTGCTTGTAATAATGATTTATTTTTTATTACTCCTTGCAAACAGAGTATGGCCTTTGCCCCCTCCCCAGGGCCTTGTGTTTCAAGACAGATGGTCCGTCACTCTGAGGGCAGATGAAGGGGAATGAAGTTCGTGCTTCGTTTGTGCTTGAGGTTTTTTGTGCAGCTTCATAGGTCCACAACTACGTAACGCCCCTCCTGACGAACCCTGCTGAAGCAACCCGTGGAGCTGACTGCGTGAGCGCAGGCTGGGGGTGTGTGCTAGGAGGGTCATGTGGAAGTGAAAAATCTCCTTCGGGCTGTTTTGGTCATCCCCAGGTATGCCCAGAAACAGACTTCCACGTGACTCCGCCCGTCTCGTTTTATCACATAAAAGGTTTCCGGAGGAATGGGTTTTTCATCTCTGATTGCAGGTCATCCTGAGCTGCAGCTTGTCTGCCCTGTCATCAGTGGAAATCACTAATGCGTTCTGAAGTGTTGTTAACTCTGGATGCATTTCAGGGCAGAACTAACTATTCATTAACTGCCTCTCCTTGCGGATCAATCAGCGTCTGCTGAGAAAGAGAAGAACAGCTTGAAGGATGATTGATTTATTAAGTGGTATATTTGGCATGTCTCTGCCAGGCAGTCGAAAGGAAAGCTCCTGTGCTGTTTTCCCCTTGGGCCCAAAGTAGTGGATCAGCCGGTCGGGTACCCCAGCGTATCGTTGCTGTAGTAGCAATAATGACTAAAAATAGCCTGCAGCATCCTGGCTTTGCGGCAGCGCTGTCTTGCATCATTTGATGGTTTCATTGTCCTTTTCAGTACGTTCTGCGAGGCTCCTTCATGCTGGGCAGAACAAAGCCTCCATGCTGGCTCCCAGAGACTCCCGTGCCGGAGTGTTTCCTCCTGTAATGAGGCAAACAGATCTTCCTAAGCGCGGTGCAGAGGAGGTGATGGGGGATACCTTGGGTGCTCTGTTGCAGATGGATGCTCAGCAAAAAGCTTATTTGATTGACAATGAGATGGCTTTGCCAACGACACCAAGCTGTGTGGTGTGGTTGACATGCTGGAGGGAAGGGGTGCAATTCAGAGGGACCTTGACAGGCTGGAGAAGTGGGCCTGCATGAAGTTCAACAAGGCCAAGTGCGAGGTCCTGCACGTGGGTCGGGGCAATCCCAAACACAAGTACAGGCTGGGCGGAGAGTGGCTTGAGAGCAGCCCTGAGGAGAAGGGCTTGGGGGTACTGGTGGATGAGAAGCTCAACATGAGCCGGCAATGTGCGCT